CTGAGTCAGCTCTTACAACAGTTCCTGTTTATGAAGTTGTTTATGCTCACTCGAAATATGACATTGCTTTTCACATTTGAGAGTTTCTTGAAACATTTCAGAGGGTCAAGATCACATGATATGTGTTACATGAAACTCAGTTTTCAGGAATCGTTTCAGTCGAATGAACATTGGTGAATTATGAAATGGGGTTTTGTATCAGTAAAACATTTGAGAAATGCTTCTGTTTCAGTGAACACAGATCAATGTCAGTGTTAGACTCTTCAGGATGTCAAACTACCAGTGGCTTCTAGTGCAAATTAACTTAACATTAAAATCAAACTTTAAGTTTTTCACCTTTAAGAACTAAAAATAAATTGCAAACCAAAATCATTTCTTTATCTCATTACTTGATCTTGTAGTAAATTATATGTGGGGAAAAACTAATCAAGAATTAGTATTACATCTAAAACGTATTGCTATTAGATATAAGAGTATGCATAATAACTATAACGGTAACTAAAATATTTTTGGCCATTGCATCCAGCTGTTACAGTACAGGTAGAATTTTATCATATATCCTAGAAAACCCATGTAAGATCATAAAATGAGACTTTTTAATATTATGGCAAAGATGGGCAGTCTAAATATGATCATTTGCAAAAAGTAATTTTACACAGCACTATGTGGTTAATTTATCACTAGTCCACATTGTAGAATTCAAAACACAGTGTGTTTGTTTGTGTGTTATTTGCTATCAATGTCTGCTGCAAAGACACTGGAAGTAAGTCTGAGGAGTGAGATTGCTATGGGGCGCAGAATTTGAATCTGATTAACACTGGGATCAGACAAAACACTTACATTTCATATTTTTTCCATTGATAGTTTTAATAATCATGAAACAAATTAAAAATAGACACGTTAAACCTATCACTGGATAGTCCTTGCTGCTAAATCTAACAAAGATGACCTTTTATTGTCATTTTTATTTTGTTTTCTTCTTAGATAATCTCTTCTCCGGTTACTGTATAGTGCAATACATGATCTACTGTAAGTTATACTGTGATTTTGTTTTAACTTTCAGTGGTCACGATTAAAAATCTATTGGCTGAATTTATGTTAGAGTCAGGGTCCTTTTTTTTTTTTTTTAAATGATGTTTTAAAATCCAGTCAATAGACTCATTTGTTTTCTTTTTAGTTTTTTTTAAGTAAAACATGTTGTGTTGGGTAAACATGTATTGATCAAATGTACATCTAGCATGCACTATAAAGGCTGGAATACACTACATGACTACTGCCCAGATTTATGTCCCAATTTACAGTCTGGAGAAGTCGATGCTAGTTGGCAAAAGTCAGATCCAGTTTGCCTATTTAAGATTTGACATTTCATAGAAAATTGTGTGGTGTATAATGGTCACAAACTGATTTTTTTAGCTTCAGACTCTTGATTCCATCCAGTCGGAAGGTATCAAATATGTTTGATATTTTCAGCTGATTTTAGAGCACACAATGTTTTCACATTTTTATGTGAGTTTGTTGTGATCGGAACAATTTTAAGTCTGTGTGATCCTCAGTCGTTTAGTGTATGATGGCCAGATTTAAATGTTTGTAAGTGTGTGAAGACTATAGCTTTTTAAAATCTGTTCAGATTTTTTAAATGGTGAACGTTCCAGCCTTAACACTGGTGAGACAGATGTGTCTGACAGATGTGTCTGACAGTACAGTATACTGTAAATGCCTATTTAAACAACATGTGTTAAATTAGCTATATTAGGAAATAAATTAATCTTACTAAGTGTGAGTGTGTTTGTAATGGACATGGGAAAACATCTTCACTATATATAGACACAGTATATATAGTGGTGAGTGTATGAAAAGTGTGCTTTAAGGGAGTTTTTTTAAAGGATGAAACTGTTAGCAACAAATTTAAATCTATTTTAATGACTGAAGTTTACAGTAGGCTATAACCACAGGAATGAGGACGAACTTGTCAAACATCAAGCAAGTACTTTCAGTTTTTAGGCTCTCGTTTAAACATGTTTTATGAGGACATAAGTATGATTTTGCCTGTTTGGTTATTGTTTTTTTTTCTTTTCTAAGCGATGCACAGCAAGGTAAGATCATTCGTTTCATAGCATAACTTCTGATAGACAGATGTTAGTTACAGACACAATTCTATTCAGAGCACCTAAGGAAAGAAAATTAGATGAGAGAGAAAACTAGGGGTGAAGTCAGCAAAAGTGGGACAATTTTTGGTAAACTGTGTATTAAATACAAATAATCAAATAATCAAAGTTTCTTGTATCTCCCACTATGTTTTTTAAAGGAATATGAGTTTATGCAGAGATTCAAAAATGTTACCCATTAAATACCCTTTTTATTTTTTTCTTCGAGCCTCTCGGTAGAAATTGCTTTCCAGGCCCCTCTCTCTCGTCGGGCCCTTGGAATCGTCCTAATCTGTTTTTATACAGTATCTTCCCTATGTCTGCGGAAAAATTATCGCTATTATGGTGGAGGCATTGAGCAGGTGTAGATGACCAGTCCAGAGTCATTCTGAATAAACACTGTATTCTAATGATCCAGGTTTGTTCTGCAAAAAAAGCTGTTTGTTTTCAGTTCTTGTTTCTTTCTTCTAATCTGAGTCAGCTCATTAAGGAATACTCTGCGTTATTAAGGAAACTTATGACAGTTCCTGTATTAGATTTATTGTTTTTTTACACTGCAAATATGACGCTGGGTTTCACATTTGTGTTACATGAAATTCAGTTCTCTTATCGCTTCAGTCGAATGAACATTGGTGAATTATGAAATGGTGTTTTATAGCAGTGAGAGTTTAAAAACATAGGTTTTGATGGTCTGATGTAAAGAGCCACAAAAGTTGGAAATGCATGCTAATACCAGGTGAACACAGATCAATGTCACAGTGTTACACTCTTCAGGAAGCCGAACTAGTGACAGTCAAACCAGTGACTTCTGACTTCTGAAAATTACGTTCATCACCTTTACGAACTAAGAGTTATTATAAATTGCAAACCAAAAACAATTATTGACCTTATCTTAATGTGGGGGGAAACAAATTAAAGGGATAGCTCACCCAAAAATGGCAATTCTGTCATCATTTACTCACCCTCAAGTTGTTCCAATCATGTATGAGTTTCTTTTTCTGCTGAACATAAAAGAAGATATTTTGAAGAATGTTGGTAACCAAACATTTGTCGGTGGCCATTGACTTCCATAGTATTTTTTTTTCATACTATGGAAGTCAGTGTGGAAGTAAATATTAAATATTCCCCATATTTTGTATTCTCTTCTCTCTGGTTACTATATAGTGCAATACATGATCTACTGTAAGTGTTGTTATAGCCAGCCATATCACGGCACCCATAGCACTTCTGGTAAAGATATGGATGTAACTCCAGTGTGTCCTGGCCAAAAACATGTCAAGAGACTCCTTTTCTTTTAAGTCTATGTGTAAAACATTGTCTGGAGTGCTGTGCAGCGCCTAAGGATTCTCAATAGCATCAAGTATGTGTTGTTTAATTTTCTTTTTTTAAATAAATTAAATTTTAGAATTATTAATCATTTATGTAATTGTCGTGTGATTTATATAATTTACTGACTTTATTATTAATATTATTATTTTCTGTCATTGTATGTTTAAATATTTTAGATTATTATTTTCTCGCTCTTTCAATTCTTGCTGTTGTTATTTAATCTTATACAGTAATTCTGTGGTTTAAAGGGATTTCTCTTCAGCAGTAAGCAAAAAAAAAGGAATGTCTCTATTTTAAAGGTTTTTAACATCACATGACAATATTGTGAAGCAGTCATTTCCCATTGCATATTTTTCTTGTGTGTGTTTTTATTATATTTATCTTGTGTCTCTATAGTGTTCCTGGCTGTACCTTAATCATGCAATCAGTGCAATTCACAGGGAACATGTATTGCTCAAACTATCTACTATGCACTGTATGACTGCTAAAAGTGTCTGTCAGATGCATACTGTAAATGTGCCTTTAGACAACATGTTAAATGTGCAATATTAGGAAATAAACAAGTCTTGAGTGAGAGAGTGTTTTAATGCATGGGAACATCTTCACTGATATCAGACACTTCTCTCAGCTCATACAGCATCACAATTTAGAGAGTCAGAAAATAACTAGGAAATTCAATAGATTTTGAGATTATGATGCCTAAAAATGTTTTATATGTAGGAACCTCACTAGGTTTTGAGATTATGAGGCCCAAACAAATGCTGTAATTAAGAAATTCAGGTTAACTTCATGCACTCAACTAACAGCTTTGTTTAACTTTTCACTTTTTTCCATTTGGTCCATCTTTGACTATCTATGAAATATGAACCCTGCTGTAGTTGACACTCGCTAATGTGAAAATTAAATCTGAAGACTTTTACACACATAGCTTACAGCGCAGAGACTGATGTGCATCTCTCTATTGATCCTTTTAGATTTAGATTTCACAAGTTCAAGGATCTGAAAAACATTTACAAAAGAAAAAAAAAACTTAATACGGACTGTAAATGTTGTTTTGCAGATCCTTGAACTTGTGAAATCTAAATCTAAAAGGATTCCCATTGCATATTTTGCATAAAATGGAGTAATGAATGTGAGTAGTAATTATTTATTCATTTACTTATTGATTGATTGACCTGTTTGGACCTTGACAGATTCAATCACTCTATGCAATGTTTTGTTGTATGTTCACAGTTTATGCTCTTAAATAGTGTGAAAACTGTGTTTGAAGAGAGTTTAAAAATGAGAATACTGTTAACGACGAATTTAAATAGTTTTAGGCCAGGACTTTTCCTGAAGGAGCTCAGAAATGAAAGTGAAGAGTGAATTCATAAATCCTCCAGTGAGGAGCAGCAATGCGCTCAATGCAACCCGGAAGAGACTAAATAAACTTTCACTTTAATGTCGATCCGTTCAGGGTGCTTTTCTAAAATATAAATGGGGGGAAAAAATAGTATTTGATAGGCTCTAGTTTTTAAACACTTTCACTGTAGAATGTTTTTGTGTTTTGTGTTTATTATTTTATTGTTTCACTATTTTCTTGGCGATGCGCTGCAAGGTAAGAACAGTTATTTTAGTTTTCAGAAAATGGTGACCTACAAACTGCAGTCCCTAGCAAACATACTAGTTTAATACTATTATAAAATTGCATGTAAAACACAATTTTACAGTATTCCTTATAGTGGAGTTTGAGATCAGGTTTTAAATCAGTTTTATCCACAGTTTGTCATTGCACGTGTTTTATACTGTCTGTCTGTTCCTCAGAGAAACATTACCTGCACTTCAAGTTCACAGCCCTTTCTAAAGCAAGCACACTCCCAGAGTTCAGTGCTGAGGCTGTTGCTGACGGCAGACAGATCTTTCACTACAATAATAAAGAGAAATCCTGGGTAAGATCGAGTCTGACTGAAGATGACTCTGAAGCTCCTGTAAACCCACCTGATTCTAGAGGCTGGTTCATATATCAGATGAAGACTCTATCAAACTGTGCAGACTCAGAGTGTTCTGGTGAGTTTCATGCTTTACTCATTAGTCATATCAGACATGTTGTGAAACTGCATATTCCTGCATAAAACATTCATTCGTTTATTTATTTTGAGACTTTTGCACAGTACTGAATACAGTGTATATTGTCATGAGTGTTGTTCTGTGATTGCAGAGCTCCATGTTCTTCAGAGAATAACTGGTTGTGAACTGGAGAAACTTCCTGATGGAACAGTGAAGAGTCTGACAGTCTTTGATGAATATGGATTTGATGGAGAGGATTTTATTGTCTTTAATTCTGACGCTCTGCAGTGGATTGATAAAAACCCCAAAGCTGAAGAAACTAAAATGAAATGGGATCGGCAAACAGAACGCAATGAATTCCTGCAGCATTACCTCAAGACCTGCATGCACTGGATCTCCACATTTAATAACAGCAGAAAGAGTACGTTCTGATCAAATCACTTTAATTAGCTGTAACAAGTCTTTGTGAGCGTGAAATAAGTTCAAGAGGTTGTCTAATTCTCTCATTGTACAGAGATGTAGATTTATCACCATTTAGTAAAAGAGTTGAAAATCATAATTTTGAATTATCCTTACTTTGTGTTTGATATAACTTTCTGGGTTTGTATCTGAAATTGTTTTTTTTTCACACAGAACCAAATTATTTGTAAATGTTTATTTGTTAATTGCATTATTTATTTATTTTTCTGCTCAGCTCCACCGGATGTTCGTGTCTTTGCAGTGAAAGCTCCTGGTGATCAACACAAGCTGCTTCTGAGCTGTCTGGCCACTGGTTTCTATCCCAGAGATGTTGAGATGTACATTAGAGTGTACAGAATTAAAATTAAGGACCAAACATCTTCTGGAATCAGACCAAATGCTGATGGATCCTTTCAGCTCAGATCCAGTGTAGAGATCGACAGAAACCACAAGGAGTTTTATGACTGTTTTGTCATTCACAGCAGTCTGACAGAACCAGCTTCAGTAGAATGGGGTAAATATCACCAGAAACTAATCTTTGATTGAATGTGTGAAAAATGGCTTTTATACACTCTGTGTGAATAACAGATGAAACTCAGTACAAGTCACTTGCTGGTCACACACAATTACAGCTGCATTACAAATGCATTTTCAATATTTGTATTTTTATTTATTTTTTGCAGCTGGAAATGGTGCTGACTGTGAAACAGAATCTCATTGGGCTTTAAAAGCAGTATTAATAACAGTTTCAATTCTAGTTCTCGTCGTGATCTGTTACTGCATCTCCCGAAGGAAAAGGTCAAGTGGTGAGTTATAAATATTCAACACTTTTGCTTTTTAATGTTTAGTTTTTAAATAGCATTATTTTAAAGACTTTTTTAAAAAAAAGTATGATGTTTGACTGTATATACTTTATGACATTACAAATATTTTATTTGATGATCACAAACTGCAAGGAACACAGCAAATGAGAATTGCAAAATTGCTGTATATATTCAAGCTAAAGCTTTTATATAATGGACTGTATTTTTTTCTAGGTCAGTCGAGCGGTTATGGTGATCAAACTGGAAGAGAGATGAGAGCCGAGCCTTGTCCTTCACACAAAGGTAGGGCTGCCCCCTTAATAGTCAACTTAACATGAGTCGACGAGAAGAGGCTAGACTAAAGGCTAGTCGACTAAAATGTTTAGTCTGTTAATTACAGAAAAAATTGCATTGAGTGAAAATAGCCTTATTGGGACAATAAAGTCCTCCCCAAACCTACCCAATAAACACAGATGAGGCACTTTATTTTAAACTTTTCAGGTTTTTGCCTTTTCTATGTGATATGTAATGTGAAAAGGGTGAAGAATGAGTTCGGCAAAAGGCAAAAAAAGCATGTCTGTGACGAACAGATTGATCCAAACGCTCGCCTGTCATTCATCCACCTCAAATATGACTTAATCATTGAAACATATTTAAAGGGATAGTTCACCCCAAAATGAACCCTCGTGTCGTTCCAAACCCGTAAGACCTTCGTTCATCTTCGGAACACAAATTAAGCTATTTTTGAT